CGGGCTTGTAAATAATCTCAAACTGAAGCCCATTAATTTTGACACCATTGCCGCTGGTTTTCATCAACACCTCTCTGCTCCAGCAAGTATTTCAGTGCTTTTTGATCTGTAAGGATGATAAATTTATGCCCCCAAGGTAATGGCGCCATTTTTTAACTGCCATAACAATAGCCATGAGCTCTCTTTCATAAATAGAGCATTGTTGGCTCTATGTGAGAGCTTTTGGCTAAAATATGCCACCGGTCTGCCCTGTTGCATCAAAACTGCCCCTATTTCGGTACCGGACGCATCAGTCTCAAGCTCAAAAGGAATGGTAACATCGACATTGCTAGCACTGGCAGTTTTTGAGCTGTTCAATGCCTTTTCCGCTTCCACTGACCACTTGAAAGAATCCTTTTCAAGTAAATCAGTAAGGGGCTAGCAATCTTCCCATAGTTCTTGACAATCGACGATAGTACCCGGTCAGCCCAAGGAAACCCCTCAAAGACTTCACATTCTTAGGCTTTGGCCATTCACCATGCTTTCTATCTTAGCGGGATCAGCTTGAACTCCTTCTCTTGATATAAGATGCCCAAGTATCAATCTTGGGTTGTACGAAACTACATCTTCAAATTAATCACAAGCTGATTTTCCTTTAGGATAGCAAATACAGTCTCCAAATACTTTAAATGAGTGGTTAAGTCATCACTATATATGAGAATGTCATCAAAAAAATACCAATACAAACTTGCGTAAATACTCCCTGAATACCTCATTCATCAAGGATTGGAAGGTTGAGGGAGCATTGGTTAATCCAAAGGGCATCACCTTGAACTCATAATGTCCTTCATTTTGTTCTGAATGCTGTTTTGTGTTCATCCCCAGCCTTAATCCGAATTTGGTAGTACCCAGACTTCAAATCCAGCTTGGAGAAAATTTTGGCTCCCTTCAATTCATCCAATAGTTCATCTGTGGTTGGAATAGGAAATTTATCCGGGATTGTAATTTTGTTTAAGGCTCTATAATCAACACAAAACCTCCAACTTCCGTCTTTCTTCCCGACCAACAACACTGGACTTGAGTAGGGGCTGTTGCTTGGCTGAATAATTCCAGCCTGTAACATGTCCTTCACCAAACCTTCTATTTCATTTTTCTGCATATGGGGTATCGATAGGGCCTTATGTTCGGTGGCTGGTCTCCAGGTTTAATAAGAATAGCATGATCTTGTGAACGGGTTAGAGGTAGTCCTTCAAGAACTTGGGAGACAGTAGGATATTTCTCTAATAACTCCTGAATTTCAGGAGAAAAAATGAAAGTACTTTCATTGCTGCCCGTGAGTCCACTATATTCAATTAGAAAACCCCTCTCCTTTCTTTCCTACAGAGCGAATTAGTGACCTGAAAGTAGCCTAAGCCCGAGTGAGAGATGGATCACCCTGTAAGCACATTCTCTTTTCTTTCTTGCCAATCTTCATTGTTAACTCGCTCCAATTGACCTTCACATCCCACAGGGATTTTAGCCACTCCATTCCCAAGACTGCATCAACCCCTTTCAACGTGAAAGGATAGAAGGTTTGAATGATTTGGTACCCCTGGACACTCAAACAGAGGTCCTTACACCTTTTCCTCCCTTTCACAACAAACCCATCACTCACTGTAACCGTATATTCAAAAATCTCATTAAAGGGTAATTTCAATTTACTCTGCAGATTTTCAGCGATGAAGTTATGGGTAGCGCTACTGTCAATCAGAATAATCACTTCAGTGCCTCCAATCCTCCCTTTAACCTTCATAGTGTTGATTTCGTCGCCGAATCCACCCATGGAATTGAGAGATAATTCCATCTGTGCCCCTTCATCAGCATTTTCGAATTCCCCTCTTTCAAGTTCAGCCTCTGCGTCATCTTCCTCTCTCTCTTTTTCCGCCCCCATCTCCATTATTAGTACCTGAAGGTTCTTGTTCTTGCACTGGTGGTCGGGCTATATTTATCTCCACACTTGAACACAGTCCTAACTCATGTCGCCTTGCAATCTCAACGTCAGAGAGTCGTCGCGAGTTTCCCATCCTCTTCGTCGACGATCCCTAATTTGAAATGCTCGCAGCTTTAGAGTGCTCTGTTTTCGTACCTATTTTCTTCTTGAATTTCACAGCAGCTAAAGACGTTGTAGTATGCGTGTTGCGATTCCTTTCAGTCACGTGCGCAACTCGTGTGGAATAAATGGGTTGGCAGCGTTTCGGGTTTGGGCCCAAACTGAGGACGTTGGGCTCGGGTGATCCTGGTTTCTCTGCAATCTCCAAGTATCCGATTCCTCTCCTCTATACACCGCCATCTCCATTAGCTCTCGTAGTGTTGGAGTTTTCGTTAGCTTCAACTCGGCTCTGATCTCTGGTTTTAACCCAGAACGGAATGCGCCGATCAAGCATTCTTCAGAGGCCTCCTACAGCGGCGTAGACAAGAGCTCGAATTCTTCAACAAATTCCAGCACTGTCCTATCCTGTTTGGATGTGAACAGTCGCTCATATTCCCCCCCTGGCTGAGAGGAGTGAAACCTGTGTAGCAGCTTACTCTTGAACTCTGTCCAGTGACTTAGGGGTATCCTGGTCTCCAGCCATTGGTACCAGTTTAATGCCTTACCCTCTAGACATACCACCACACAGCCTCAAGCTTATCTCGTTCTGCAATGGAGTTAACATGGAAATATCTCTCCACCCGAAAAAAGCCATCCCAACGGGTCCTCTCCTGAAAAAACAGGTAATTCTAACTTTATATTTGCTTCCGTCTGTATCACTGCCTGGGTTGCTCACCGAAACCTCCTCATGACCTTCCTATTCGTTTGCACGTGGCCCGGTTATCTTCTTCTCTATTTGCACCAGGGCATCATTAATAGTCTTCAATGTTTCTTTAATATCGTTTACATCTCGGGTCAATACCCCAACCGTCTCCTTCAGTTCTTGTACTTCCAAATCAGCATACTGGACCCTTTCTGTCATATCTCTTTACACACCACACCCAGAGATTGTATCGCTCTGATACCAAATAATGCGTCCCAAGCCAGAATTACAACAAGAGTGATAAATAGACAGCAACAGCAATAAATATGAGAGGAAAGTACTTAGGTTTTGATATTAATGAGATGAATAACCGAATCAGATGTACAAGGGGACTCTAATTCTGGCCCAAAACCCTATTTCCTCTAAAAGATGATAAAACATTCTAGCAACACAGATTACAAGCTTCAATACAGAGTCTCACTCCCACTGGCATTCGAGAGGCCAATCCCTCCTTACTATTCCACTCTCATTCTTCTTGGCCCTCCCTTCCTAAGCAAAAGACTACTAATACCTTCAGTGGCTGACACATAGCCAATACTACCCAAAAGATCCCAATCATTACAAAAGATCACAAAATACTGTTCCTTACGGCTATGGACCGAAGGGTAAACTTCTAGACTAGTTCAAGTATTTCCACTAGAGTTATTCTTTCCCTTTGACTTCCTCTGATATGTCTTAGGAAAATAACAGACCCTATCAGTTCCTTTTTGTGGTTTCTACTTCAGTCTTTAGTGTTATCATTCTTATCTTTATTGTGCTGAGCTTCCTGTGTCACCTTGGATTTGTACGATCTGTCCAGTCCTGTAAGAATCAAGAATGTTTTGAATTTTCTGAAATTTTAGCTCTATGATATTTCCTCTCTCAACTTTTCTCTAATCATTGTGTTTTGTCATAATAGTATGAGGAAACTGGGAAAGTCGCTGACTCAATGCTTGTAAATACTGCATTAATGCTGGTGTATGTTAGCAAGTTTTTCTGGTGGGAAGCTGGATATTGGAACACAATGGATATTGCTCATGACCGAGGTTCATATATGCTTTATTCTTATATATGTTTTGCATGCTAAATATTTCCTTGTAATGATTATGACAAAGAACAACGGTGCTTTTGATGGTACCATGACTACTTTCTTGGGGAATTATATGACAATGACTTGATTAGTTTTTGAGTTTTGTTATTCTATGCAATCCTCTTGCCACATATCATTATTAATTTTGTTGTGCACATTGTATTTGAAGTTCTATATTGTCTCACTGGATTTTATAACACCCAATATGGCAGCGGGTTTTTATATTTGCTGGGGCTGCTTGGTGTGGGTTCCATCTGTTTATACATCTCCTGGAATGTACCTTGTCAACCATCCTGTAAATCTTGGCACTCAGGTATTTCCTCCTCCCTTTTACATTGTTTTTTATTTATCTTGATGTTGCCAGCAGACACACACTCGTATTAACTTTTATATGGCTTCCTCCTCTTTCTCTGTGTGAAAATGTCTATCCTTGTCTTCCAGCTTGCAATCTTTATTCTTGTGGCTGGCATTCTCTGCATATACATCAACTATGATTGTGATAGGCAAAGACAAGAATTTCGTCGGACAAATGGGAAATGCTTAGTCTGGGGAAAACCTCCATTAAAGGTGTGAAGTCATGGCATTTACATTAGGGTCATTTGGGATGTATTTTCTGTTGGACTTGGATTTGATGTGATGATGCCCTTGCAGATAGAGGCCTCCTATACCACCACGACTGGTGAAACAAAAACCAGCCTTCTTTTAACATCCGGATGGTAAGTTTTTGCTTGAAATACTGTAAAAGTGAAATGGTGATATTTAAACGTTGCTCAAAATACCTCCCTCCCAGGCAGGAGTTTAAGATACCATCTGTTTCTTGGTGATAATTGATTATATGTATATTATAAATATTATTATTCTCTTATATTTGTCGTTAATAATAAATGCATACCATTCGGGCTTAAATCTTTCCACAGTCCTTGCCTTTCAACATGATATTATTTTCTTAGATTAGACATCTTCCGTTTTTGATGGCCAGTTCCTTCTCTGATCCCTGCAGGTGGGGTTTATCTCGTCATTTCCATTATGTCCCAGAAATACTTTCTGCTTTCTTTTGGACAGTTCCTGCTCTATTCAATCACGTAAGAGTGTATTTAACTGTTTATTCTCTAATCTGTATGAGTTATAAATTGTAACTTCGTCTTAACTCTTGAATCTTATACTTTTTTCATGCAGTTTTTGCCCTACTTCTATGTGATATTTCTTACCATCCTTCTCTTTGATCGAGCGAAAAGGGATGATGATCGGTGTAAATCCAAGTAAGTATACAGATAGTATCTGCTGTTGTTATATGAAATCTGAGGAATGGGTCATGTTGTTCATAATTTCTAAACAGCGTGATTGTTACAAATTTCATATGTTTTATTGATTTATATTCTATATTGATAATATTGATATTGGTGATTTTTTCTTCCCCTCAGAGATGTGGCATCGTTTTTTTTTTTTTGGGTTTTTGGTAATTGCAAATAGTCCCCTCTATAACTTGTGTCAGTTCTAATGCATTGTCATTTTACTTTCTTTCTAATAGCATGAAATAAACGCTTGCTACTAACCAATTGGACTGTTTTCTGAAGCATATACTTAGTCCAAAGCAATTTATATTTGGAATTGCCAATTTCTCATTGTATGTTAAATAAAATTGTATTAGAAACAGTGTAGTACTAGCGTAAAGTCTAATTAATTAAAAAGATTTGGTTTTTTTATTCTCATATTTCCGCTCAAATACTTTTAAATGCTCCAATATCAAGTTCTTGTTCTTTTTTTTTCCTGTGTCTCGTCAACATTTTCAATTTCCACTGCATGCAGGTATGGTAAGTACTGGAAATTATATTGCAACAAGGTGCCTAGCAAAATCATTCCGGGAATCTACTGAAGAAGGATGCTGATTATTGCAATGTTTGGTACCTGAAGTGTTTTCTAGAAAAGAAATAGGAAATGTACCTGGAAAGAAAATGAGATAGGTGCATTTTTTATTTCCTTCTTATAAAATATTTTTCTGCATACCAAACATTACATAAGGGTTTTTACTTGGACCTTAACTTCGTGGCTTTTTTGCCATGTGTACCTATTTTGTCTTGATGCCCTTGTTTCCCATACTTAATTTAAATGCATGGGGGATTTCATCCCTAAGACGGTCATCAAGCCTAGTTTTAAGCATGTGTTCTAACTTTCAATGATTAGTTGTAGTCTTTTTTTTTTTTTTTTTCCCCAGGTCAAATTGAATTGCAGTGTTCTTTTCTTCTTTCTTTAATTTCTTTGGTCTGAGAGTTGCAGAGGTTTTCTTATGAATTCATTTTCTGTCAATTTTTTAGCGGTCTTGATAGATACATTATGATTCACATGTTTGCTAAAACAATCAACCTGATCAAAACAAACATCCGAAGTCTTTTTTTTTTTTGTTTAGTTTAATTTGGAAGTTCCATTTAATTTTTTTTCTACTTTAGGTTAATTTAATGTTTATTTTTGAAAAATTTATTCTATAAATTTTCAGACATTTCAAATAAATTCTTAGGGCTGACGCTTTTTCTCTCATCATTATTCATCAAGTTAGATGAGTCACCTCAAGTAGTCAAATGTTTGCACTAGGAAAAATGACGTTTAAGGATCTTTCAAGAACATCAATTACAATTAAGGTTTTAAAATTTCAAGAAAGGGTCATGGTCTTTGGATGGAATCAAAATTTTGAGTTAATGTATTTAATACTCATCTTTTACCAGTTTTCATCTTTAACATTTTAGTATTCAATTTTTAACCTTTTTTCCAATAATCTTAGATGTTTTTAAAATTTATCTTCCATCTTTTACTGCTGAAAAGAATCAAAGATAAATGCTAGGACGTGGGAGATGAGTATTGAAAAAAATTTAAAATTGAGTTCTGAAAACATAAAATTAAGTACAGAAAATTCAGATGGTAGGTGACTAAAACTATGAATTGAGTTGTTTTTTTTTTTTTTGGGTCCTTTTGGCCAGAGGTAAATCAATTCATTAAGAAATCACAAATACAAGCTCTAATAAACTAAAACCGCATGAAACAAACAGAAGTTCAAAATACTTTAACAAAAATAATTTTTTTTGCCAGAACAAAAATTAATTGAAAGACACAATAATGTAAAGACTAGTTCTTTGCAAATCAAGGAGCTAGTCAAGACATAGTAGATTGTCCTATGTGCCATGGAAACGGTTAAAAGGAGTGATAGTTCAAAGACTTGCTCAAACACTGAGCCCACAGCCTTATGCGCCAAAGCTGCATTCATAATAGTATCTAAGGGTGTTCAAAACCTATCCAAATTGAAAGGACCGACTCGAACCAACCCAAATCAAAAGAAACCGATTAAAACTGAACAATAATCAAATTTGCTTCGGTTTTATGATATGAGAATCAATTAGTTTGGTTCAAGTTCGGTTTTGAGTACTAGAAACCGAACCAAACTGAGCCAAACCTGATTAAAAAATATTATTTATTTATTTATAAAATATATGATCATTTATCTATAAGAAGCATTTTGTTTTGAATTTTTTGTAGTAATAGATAAACATTTTTAAAGGACTTGAATGAAAAGCATAATATTAAATAATTATAATAATCATGTTATGACCATCATTTAATTATTTACAACTTGAAAGCCTCAGTATTCAATTTATCTATAAGAAGCATTTTGTTTTGAATTTTGTATAATAAGTTTTTTATTATTTATTAAAATATAGATACATAGATAAACATTTTCAAATGACTTGAATGAAAATGCATAATTTTAAATAATTTTAATGTTAGAAACTCATATCAATTTTTATAATTAATTATCGTTATCACATTAAAATTTTATTATATTTTATACCTCTACTTATGAAAAAAGGAGCCAAAAAGAATTAGATTTAATTTTAATATATAACGTCATTATGAAGATGGAAAAAAAAGGAAAAAAATTAAATAAGTGCATTGAAGCCTGATCCAGACCTTAACCAAACTGAATCAAACCAAAAATTAAATCGAACCAAACCAAACTTCATAAAAACTGATTAAGTTTTAGTTATGAGTAAACCGCATGGTTTGGTTCGGTTTGATTTTTGGCCAAAACCAAACCAAATCGAGCCTATAAACATCCTAATAGTATCATCAAACACTCTCAAGACAAGAGGGAAAGAACAACATTGAGAGTCAAAAATAACTTTCAGGTCAATAAAGAATATTATATGATTGAACCAACGACACGCACAGCAAAGCCAAATTATCCACAAAAAAGATACAAACCCAACCCTACAAAGAACACTTTTGCTATCTATTGAGGGCAAAATTATCTAACGCCACCAAGAGAGCCATCAGCCAATGGTGGACGTAAGACATCGGATCAGTGGGAGAATAAAATATAAAATAATAAAAATCAAAATCAAAAATACTATAAAAGATAATATGAATCTTTATCCCCAAAAAATAATAATATAAATTTAAATTTAATAAGTTAAGAGTTTAAAAAAAGGTTAGACTTGAGTGAAATATCAAATGTTTAAAATTTGTTAGAACTCAAATGTTTTATTTTGAGGCTACTGGGGTCCAAATTATTGGGGGTAGTGGATGCATATTTTTAAAAGTTACAATACATACATGTAAATTTCATTAAGTGGAGGCATTTGCCCAATTTCACCTCAATCTAGATTAGCCATTGCAATCAGCCCTTTTTATCTGCACCAATCAATCTTTATGGCACTTTGCTCAAATTTGAAATGCTTTTTCAAAACTCTTTAGATTGAGAGCAACACAAAATTTAAAAATATGTTTGACTGAAGGTTTTTAGAAGGGCGGGGAGTTGCTCTCCTCCCCTTATTTTGGTTGGTATTTCATAAAAAGTGGGGAATGGAGTACCTTGTTTGGTTTAAAAATTGAAGGGGAAGGGAGCTCCTAGCCTTTCCCTCTGATTTGGAGTTTTTTTTGAAGGAGAGAGGAGAGGGATTATGACTAAATTATTTATTTATTATTTTAAAAATTTTAAACTATTTATGCTACTAAATCCCTCTCTCTTATAATTAAATAAATTTTATCAATTTACAAAAATTAATCTATAATTTTTGTGGTCTAAAATTGTAATACATTTTCATTGGATGCTTTGATAAAATATAATATTGATGTATGTATTCTTTCAAAAATGTTATGAATATAAGTTCATATTCTTAAAACATTGTTAAAATATAATATAACTATTTATTAATAGATTAAAGCAAAAAAAATAAAAATGAACTTAAAATTGATGAGAATAAATCATCAACTTATTATTAGTTTCCTCCCTCAAATCAAACATAAGTCAAGCACTTGAGGTTGGCCTGGGACTCATTTTGTTTGTGACTCATGAGGAATTGTGCTATGATTGTGGTGTGGTTTCTATATGAAAAGAATTATAAAAATTTTAATTCCAACAAATTTTTTTGGTCTTTTTCAAAATTTTAAAATTCTTATTTATAATTAATGTTGTTAGAATATTCCTTTTTTTAAACAAAAAACAAGCCAATTTTATTGATTATAAAAAAGAAATACACTCACTAATATCAGAAAGCAGTAAAAAAAAAAAAAGCAGTAAAACCTAAATACAATCTAAATGTGAAAAGAAAACCAAACCAAAAAAAAAAAAATCTAACAAATACCAAATAAACAAAAAACAAGCACCAAAACAATTATTCTATACCAGTCCTAATCAAACTAGAATCAAAAACTCTATAAACCTTCTCATGTTGCTTACTTTTGCCCAACAAATCAGCCAACAAAACATCATAAAAAGAAGGTGTTGTTATTGAAAGCCACCCATTAGGTATTAACTCCTTTGCATAAAAATCTATTAATATATCAACAAAATAATTTTCTTGGCGTGAAACCAAAGAAAGGGAAACATTTGGCTTAGCACCTGTAAGCAAAAGCAACTTCAACAATAGAGCCTCACAGCACTAGTCACAACTCAAACTAGAACTTGCATTGAGAAATTTAAAAAGCAATTCACAATTAGTTTACCTACAAACCTATCCAGCAAATCTATCACAAATATATCACAAATCTACAAGGCCTCAGTAGCTGCAAGACATTCAGCCATAAAGCTATTAACAACCTTTGCTTATTTCCCCAAACCACCACAAAATCGTCCATTGCTATCCCTACAAATCACACCCACACTAGCAAGCTCATTCTTCTTTAAAGAACCATCCAAATTAATTTTCACAACCCCACTCATAAGCAGAAGCCAAGTCTTAAGTCTAGAAACAAATGATACATTATTTCCACACAAATTATCATTAGCTCGAACACACCCCGACATTCCGCTACCAGTCTAACTGCAATAGCAATCACCTTATATGGCTCAACCTTAATTTGACTGAAAACTCAATCACACCTGGCCTTTCAAATTCTCCAACAAAGCATAGCAATGAATGATTTCCCACCAACTTCCAAATCATTTTTTCTCAAAAACCAATCCTCTAGCTATGCTTCAATACTGGAGACATCATCTCTATCGATAATAATGGACAGATGGCACCTAAACCAGCAACACTTGACCTAATTACATAAGAGTAAAAGATGTTCAAATGTTTCAACCTCTTCTCCACATATAGGACATGATGGATCCTTCACACATTTTCTTTTGAATAAAGCATACTTTGAAGCCAAAGCACCCTTCAATAATCTCCATAAGAATTGCTTAGCCTTGGGTGGAACATTCAAACCCCATATGCAACTCCACATTGCTCCAGGAACTTGATATGAAGTACTTGGCCTATTATTTGTAGAAACCATAGCTCCCCTTTTTTCAACATAATACCCTGACTTCACACTCTATACATCATCCTTGGTATAATTCCATATCAACTTATCCCCTCCAAGATGTCTGGGGACATGCATTCTTCTAATCATCTCAATAATGTCACTGCCAACTTTCCCCTCCAACCTAGACAAATTTCAAGCCCCATTTGAAATCAAATCTTGCACCTTCATCGCCTTATCTTCCTCAGACAATTGAATATTAGATTGGATCATGCCATTCAAGCCAATTACCCACTTATCTCTCCAAACATTGATCAAACTACTACTCCCTAGCTTCCACCTTAAACCTTTTTTGAGTAAATTTCTACCTTCCAGCAAACTAATCCATCCCCAAGATGCCTCTTTCCACCCTTTAGAGCCTGCAAAAAGTCTAACTTAGGAAAATAAAGACCTTTAATG